TCTCATCTTTTATGTAACAAACTTCTGCTCTGTTCTTAAGGAAACTTTGTGGCCTCCTGTGACTATGTTTCAGTGACTGACTGTCATGTTTCCTGAACTAAACATATGATCTATCAGGCCAGATTTCATTGTGGAATCTGGCTTGTCCAGTAGTAACATCATCTAGGATCTTAACACGGAGTGTGGTAAGAAATGGAAATCTACAGGGATTCTTTGTCCCTTACAATGAAATATCTATTTATTCATTTTTATTATTCATCATATTGAAATTATTCAAATGCTGATAATTATTTATTTTCAACGTTGCTGGAGTATTTTTCAGGTTGCACTTCATAGCCTATTGTTGCTGGTGTGACTGGCATAGAACATACCATCTCATCACACAAGAGGTAAAAACTGTAGGGGATAGATTTTGTAATACAATTGAGAAAAAGCAGGGTTGGGATTAATTGGATAGCTGTCCCAAAGGAACTATCACGGTAGGCCAAATGGTCTCCCTCTCTTCCATATAATTCTGTGATTCAGTAAATATTTACAAGTGTTACTATTTGCCCCCTGGTGGTGAATTGCAGTAGGAACATTATAGCAATCTGTGTTCAAATAAAAACACACTGAAAACCAAAAAAAACAGAAGTGATTTAATGGGCTTGCAATCCTGTCAGGGAACCTCACCCATCAGAACTGCATCACCTAAAATTTTGCAATTATTTCATGAATGGTTAGTGTATGACCAAATTTTCCGGTATCTTGTCCCAGTGGGCCAGCTTCCCATGGAAGCACAGTCTTGGAGACCTCCTAACGTTTATTTAATCACCTTTCAGGGAATTAATTTTTCTAGCTCAAGAATCATAACCTACCACAAACTTGTCACCACTTATAACCTGTAAACAGGTCTCATTTCCAGTGGAATTATACATGGCCAATTGTCAAAGGACCAGAGGTTTCACTTGAAGCAGATCAGCATCACTTTCTACCCAGTTAGGGTCACATATTATTTAAATGGTGAGAGATTCAAAGGAAGGGTGCAGATGCCCTAGAAGTGGTTCAAAGAAAGTTTACCAGACTAATACCCAGAATGGGTGGGTTGTCTTATGAGAAAAGGTCAGATAGGCCAGGCTTGTATCTGTTGGAGCTTAGAAGAGGAAGAGATGATGACTGAAACATGTAAAATCCTGCAAGGTCTTCACAGGATAGATGTGAAGAGGGTGTTACCTCCTTCCTGGGGTGGCACCATGGTTAGCACTGCTACCTCATAGTACCAGAGACCTGGGTTCGATTCCATCCTTGGGTGACTGTCTGTGTGGAGTTTGCACATTCTCCCCATGTCTCTGTGGGTTTCCTCTGACAGTCCAAAGATGTGAAAGTTAGACGGATTGGCCATGCTAAACTGTCCTGTCGTGCTCAGGGATGTGTAGGTTAGGTGGATTAACCATGGGAAATGCAGGGTTATGAGGATAGGATAGGGAGTGTGTATGGGAGAGATATTCTTTGGAGGGATGGTGTTGTCTTGGGCTAAATGGCCTGCTTCCACACTGTAAGGATTTCTTATGGGGTCATCATTTAACACGAAGGGGCACCCATTTAAAACAGTTGAGATGAAATTCTTTCTCACTGTGTTTTGAGTCTTTGGAACTCTCTTCCTGAAAAGGTAGCAGGAGCACACCCTTTGAATATTTTCAAGTCAGAAGTAGATATATTCTTCATAAACAAAGAAATAAAATATTACCAGTGTAGGCAGGAATGTGGATTTGAGGTTACAATCAGATAAGCTATGATCTTACCAAGTGGCAAAGTAGGTTTCAAGAGATGCATAGTTTACACCTGCTCCTTGTTCCTATGTTCAGAAAGCACTGCCTGAAAGGGTGATGGAGGCAATAACTTTCAGAAGGAAATTGAAGAGAAATAACTTGAAAAGAAATAGTGTACAGAACTTTGGGAAAAATTCAGGGAAGTGGGTTTACTTGGTTATTAATTGAAGAGCTGACATAGATATGATGGGTCAAATGGCCTCCTTGTGATTTGATTAGACTTATACATTTTCCTGGGACATGGGCTCAGCTTCACAATGGGCAGTTTATTTAATAATTAAGTCATAGGTGCAGCAAGCAACTAATGTCACTCCTCCATTATGTGTCCTTTTCTTACCTGTTCTTTCTTCAGCTATTGATTGTCTTGAGGAGATTCCTCCACTAATAGTGGTGACGACCACAGAGTATGACCCTCCAGGTTTCAGGGAATGAAACAGATATTGATCGGTTTCACTTGAAACACTTTCGTTCTTTATTACAATGTTTTCATGTATGAGGTGGATTTGGTAATTGTCAATGTCCCCAGTGGCTCTAGTCCAGCTGGTGTGTAAGCTGTCGATTGTCCCTTGGTTTGTCACGTGGTGGTTTGACACCTGAGCCGGCACTAAAGAAAAATGGTGTTACAAAATAATTTGAATGCAAGATTGCCCGAGCTTATTTTTGTCCTTTGTAGATTGTGAAAGTTCCTCTGAAGTCATTGTAAAATTGAAATAGATTATATAGGAATCATAGATACTTTATTGAATTAATGAAGGGAAGAAGATGGTGTAATGGGAATGTGATTAGCCTGATAATCTAGAGCCCCAGTGGAGATAGGGTTCAAATGCCACTGTGGCAGGTAATGAAATCCAAGTTCAATAATAATCTTGAATTAAAAGCCAGCCTAACGATGACCATGTAATCTAACAAGTTGGCAGCTTTAGCAATACCAAGACTGAGTAGCGGGTGCTGCTGGCACTATAATCATCCTCCAGAATGAAGAATCATGTGAGGAAAGAGTGAGGTTAATAACAGTATGGATTTGGGCAGGTGAGAATGGTGAAGGGATGGGATTTGGAGGTCCTGGGAAGGACTAAAGCTGCAACAACTTATGCCCTGTTCCATCCTGCCTTTTGTACAAAGTTGCCACAGTCATATCGGCTAATGGTGTGATTTTGCTTCCAACAGAATGTTTTATCTGATGTAGCAATACTTACATCATCTTTTGTAACAGAAGAAACTGGGTGTGAATATTATAGTAGTGAAGTAACCAACCAACTATTATGCATAAACATTCCATTCTTCAGGCACATAGTTATCTGGACTAATATTGAGTTATTAGTTTACAAAAGAGGAGCATGCTTCCAGAAGAGCGTCATGCTTCAAGTTACCCAAGATAAAATGGACTGTTTGGCAATAAAAAATTGAATATTTATGCACTGCCTTCATAATCAATGAAAACTTCCAAAGGGGAATCACCGTTTTAATGCTGTTTGTGGAACCTTCCTCTGTGCAATATGATAATAAGCAGGTAGCCTGTTCTAGCAATGTTGTACAAGGGACAGATATTGGCCAGGACATTGGGAAATATTTCTCTGTCCTTCTTCAAAATGTAACAGCAAAATATAACAAATATGTGAAATTCATGGGCTGTCAATGAACTTTTGTATTGCAGTTGCATTTTCAAAACTAACACCATTCACATAATTGCCAGGAGACAATAATCCACTTACCTGTCCTTCCTTCTACTGAAGCAGATTTGCTTAAGTCACCGCTGATGGTGGTTACAGTAACTGTGAATTTCCGTCCAGGTACCAAGCCAGAGAAAGTGCACTCTTTGGCATCTTTTGAAAGACTTTTATTCATTTCTATACTTTTTGTGTCCTTCAATGATATAAGATACCGGTCCAGCTCAGTCACAGGAGTTGTCCATAAGACACTGAGTGTGGATTGATCAGTATGTTTTATCCGTAGGTGAAGGACTGCCTCTGGCGCTGTACAGTAAAAGTGAGAAAAGTGAAATGATTACGGATCACACTTGCCCTGCAACTTAAGTAAATTTGACTATGCTGAACTGCTTGACGTAGCTGAGGGTTGTACAATAGAGAAATTAAAAATTCGAGTCTCTGAAGTGCCACTTCAATTTTGAGTACGATACTTAACATATTCAAACTCACAATATGCCATCCTTTTGATTCCGCGCAATTTGACTACTTGAAACATGCTTAAATTCTACAGCTCTTTGTCTTTGCTTTAAAGATATTGTTAAGTTTCAGCTTCTTTCTTTGTGGGGGCTGTGATGGAAATAAATTTCTTTTTGTGTGATGGTCCCAATTGTCTTCCATGAATTTAGTTTTAATTCATTTAGTTCCTAGTCCACACAAGAATGCAGCACTAAACCATCTACCATTTATTGCAGGTTGGCATGTTTAGGAAACATCAGATTTGCTCAGCAGGGTTGTTGTGCTTTTCTAAGTTAGTGTGAAACCTTGATTTTGGAATAACATGAATTGAACTTTGCCCAATATCTAATCTGTTCTCAATCTAAGAATATTGAGTAAAATGCAACAAAGTGTTCCATCACTAACAATTTTCCCCTCACAAAATGTTATTTCTCAAAAGACTCAGAAGTGACTTTTAAATTTTCTTCTGTGTCTGGATTTTGTGATCATTTTTCCCCCATAGCAAAGAGTTGGGAAACAAGCGACATTTAATTCTGAATTTTTAAAAGCAATACACTTCTGCATGTGAGTTGTTTGGAGGGGAGAATGGCATGGTGGAGAGAGTGGTATAGTGGAACGAGAGCACAAATATCTGGTCCTGGCATTATTAAAAACTCAGGTTTTGTAATTTTACAACTAAGCAGCAAACACTGCAAGCCAACTTCAATGAAATAATCTTTAGTCCACAGAAATAGACCTTGATCATTAAGCAGCTTTTCATGGGCAGGACTTCTATGTCCAGTCCTTGATCCTGTGGAAGATGCACTGCTGCCTACTTAAGTGCTTGATTGGCATTTAATTCCAAAAATAAATTGGCACTGGGTTCTTGCCAGCTCTCCAGCTAGGGAATCAGACCCTCATCACCTTCAATAAATTCTCCCCCCGCACCCAAAGAAATCCACACGAGGATACAGACACTAAAGGATGCACAAGATAAACTGACAAGCATTGATTGGGAATGGTACAAATTGTGAAGTTATTCTGCCTCAGCATTTACCAGGGTAACTAAATGGGCATGACATCTGAATAAATAAAAGAAGACATTTAAGATAGAAATAGGAAAGGCAATTGATAAACTAATCAAACCTAGAAGGCTTTATGTGAAGGGTTGGATTCATGTGTGCATATTTATAACGTTAAGGAAGAGTTGTTTAGGGCACTCTTACAAATTTGCATTTATATAATATGTGCATTAGCAAAAGAAATAGTACCAGAGGACTGGTGGCTGGCTAATGTTGTTCCTGTATATAAAAAGTGAGATAAAACAAGTCTAGAGATCTTTAGACCGGTCAGAATAGTGTTGTGGTAAGTTTGATAAAGGAATACTGCCCAAAGATATGGAATATAGACATCTAAAAAATGAAAATAAAAAGGAATCAGCACAGATTCCACAAGGAAATGGTAGGTTTGGCCAACCTTATTGTATACTTTGAAGAATTAGGAGAAAGTGTTGGCAAAAGAAATCTTGTAAATCATAGATTATGATTTTTAAATGACCTTCAGTTGAGTATCACACAGTAGACTCATAACTAATATCAGGACATACGGAATCAGGCTAGACATAGCAGAATTGGTCGTAACCTGGCTATAAAAGAGAAAAGGAATATTAGGGATTAAAGGTAGCTACTAAAACCAGTAAATGGTGTGGAGTGATGGTTCACAGGAATTCGTGATGGGATCATTGTTTTTCACCGTTTACATCAGTAATTTGAACTCAGAAATCAGAAGTACAATTTAAAAATTTGAGAAAAACAGTGAAATAGAACCCCTACAATGTGGAGAGAGATAGTAGGAACTGCAGATGCTGGAGAATCTGAGATAACAAGGTGTAGAGCTGGATGAACACAGCAGGCCAAGCAGCATCAGAGGAGTAGGAAAGCTGACATTTCGGGCCTAGACCCTTTTTTCTGAAGAAGGGTATAGGCCCGAAACGTCAACCTTCCTGCTCCTCGGCCTGCTGTGTTATCCAGCTCTACACCTTGTTACCATACAATGTGGAAACAGGCCATTCAGCCCAAAAACCACCACTCCAAAGAACATCCCACCCAGGCTAACCCCGTTACCCTATCCCAGTAACACTGTGTTTCCCATGGCTAATCCACCTAGCCTACACATTCCCTGGACACTGTGGGCAATTTAGCATGGCCAACCCACCTAACCTGCACATCTTTGGACAGTGGCAGGAAATCCACGCAGACACAGGGAGAATGTGAAAACTCCACATAGGTAGTCACCTGATGCTGGAATTGAACCCTGGTCAGTGGTGTAGCAAGAGAGCAGTGCTGTCCACTGAGCCACAGTACGACTTAGGAAGATAAGCTAATATGAAGGAAGATGCATGAAAATGTGTAAAAAACATTAATAAACTGGTAGAATAGTAACTGGCAAAATTGATTTCAAGTAAATGTGAAATGTTGCATTTTTGTAGGACAAATTAAGGCTGCACATGCTGCTAAGAATGCTGTGGAGGAGCAAACTGATTATGGCATACCAATACAGAAATCACTATAAACTGATCAATTATAAAGCTATCCTAACATTGGTATTCATTTCCAGAAAGATAGGATTGAAAAACAGATGTTTTGTTTAACAATATCAATCCTTGGCTAGACAACAGTTGGAATAACGTGCACAGCTCCAATCTTCATTTTGTAAAAAACATGTAAAAGCATTGGAAAAGTTGCAAAGAAACCCCGCAAGGCTGGGACCTGAACTGAGAGAATGCAGGTATCAGGAAAACTTGGGCATCTTGTATTATTTTCTCGACAAAATGCTGAGGAATGACATGAGAAAAAGTTCTTATGATAACTAAAGTGTTAGACAAGATAGACATAGAGATGTTTCCTCTTGTCAGGAGTCTAAAACTATAGGTCATACATTTAACATACTCACTAATTAATGTAGTAGGAGATTGAAGAGATTTTTTTTAACCACAGTGAGTAAGAATACAGAATGCACTCCCGTATGTTCAGCTATTAGCATAGGTGTGTTTAATAGGAAGATGCATAAACAAATGAGGAAAGATCAAGTAGAAGAACCTGCAGATACAATGAGATGAAATAATGTGGGAGGAAGTTTTTCTGGAGCATAAATATAAGCATGGACTAGGTGATTAAAATAACCTGTTACTTTGTTCTGCACTTGAAGTAATTCAATCTGATAAACAATTTAGTAAAACGATTTGTTTGTCATTTGTTTCCTACCTGTTCTCCCACTGCAGTATGCCTCGTTTTTAAAATTTCCACTCTTTACAATGACTGCAGCCTTATATTGTCGTCCAGGGATGAGTCCTAAATTCTTGATTTCATACTCTCTGACGTGTTTCTCAGCGGACACATTCAGCACAACAGAGGAGTGGTTGAACAGTTGAATCTGGTAACTCTCCCAGTCTCCAGTAGGGGGCAGCCAGCTCATTCTCAGAGAGCTGGTGGAACCATTGCTTGCCATTGCCAAGTTTGAGACACGTTGTGGAACTAGAATAAACATTAAACAATTTATGTACCAAGGCTTAATTTTTATTTAACAATCAGCAATTAGGCAGAATGCATATCCTTAGTTTTTCCAACAACAATGAATTCAGAATTTACATTTTACATGGTGCCTTATCATTTCCTCAAGATGTCTCAAAACATTGAAGTTTAGTCATTGCTATCACGTAGGTAAATATGGCAGATGGCCAACCTATGCACAATAAGATCCCATAATTAACATGTGAATGATACCAATCTGTGGTTTGATGACGTACCCTGAGAAAGAAATGTGGCTAGGAAATCTTGGGACCTGTCTACACTTTGTTTTTCAGATAGTCTTTCACGACATGTGGGTGTTGCTGGCAAGGGTGTTGTCTATTCCTAATTGCTTCTAAGAAGGTCGTAGTTAGCTGTGGTTGTTGAAGCATTGCTATTCATGTGGTTCAAGGAAGGGAATTCCAGGATTTTGAGCAGTGAATGATACTTTTCAGTAAAAGGGGATATGATTGCCCAGAAATGCCAACATGAAGCGCTGAGCTCAAGTCTATTGATGGGAATGGAAATTAAAAGTATAGGAGTACAAATGTCATGTTGCAGTTGTACAGGACATTGGTCAGGCCTTTTCTGGAGTACTGTGTGCAATTCTGGTCGCTCTGTTATATGAAGGATATTGTTAAACTGGAAAGGGTTCAGAAATAGGTTTACCAGGATGTTGCCGAGAATGGAAGAGTGTTCAAAACCAGGGGGCGTATTTTTAAGGAGAAAAGAGAAATATTTGAAAAGGATGTGAAGGACAACTTTTTTACAAATAGAGTGATTTGTTTGTGGAATGAACTCCCAGAGAAGCTGGGGCATGCAGTTATGGTTACAATGTTTAGGAGACATTTGGATAGGTTCATGAATAGGAAAGGTTTGGAGTGATATGGGCCAAGCACAAGCAGTTGGGACTAGTCTAGTTTGGGAACATGATCGGAGTGGACTGGTTGGACCGAAGGGTCTGTTTCTATGCTGTATGACACTATGGCTCTACGACTCTATAACTGAAGCTAACTGACATTTAAATATGTCTTTCATAATTGCCAAATAAATTGTTATTTATCACAAATAAAACAGATTGGAAATACTGAAAAAGAAATGTTTTAACTAGACAGTAGATCAGACAATGTGTAAAAGGAACAAGATATCATTTTTAATTATAGAATCATGGTATCACTACAGTGTGGAAGGAGGTCATTCGGCCCATCAAGTCCACACTGACCCGCCAAAGAGCATCTCACCCAGACCTACCTTCCTACCCTATCCCTGTAACCCTGCATTTCCCAATGCCAATTCACCTAGTTTTCAAATCCCTGGATATTGGGATGTGGGCATCATTGGCAAGACTAGCATTTGTTGGTCATTCCTATTTGCCCTTCAATTGACTGGCTTATTGTTCCATTTTAGAGGGCAATTAAGAGTCAACTACATTGCTATGAGTCTGGAGTCACTTATAGGCCAGACCAGGTAAGGACAATGGTTTTCCTTCCCTGAAGGGCATTACTGAACCAGATGAGTCTTTATGAAAATTGTTACATGGGTGCCATTAGACTAACTTTTAATTCCAGATTTTATTTAATTTAAAGTTCACTATCTTGGATTTGTACAATCTCCCCAGAATATTAATTTGCTTCTCTGGGTTACAAAGCCAATATTCACTTCACTCAAAATACCCGTCAGATTAAAGTTACAGGTGTATTATGATTATAACTTCAAAGTAATTTTTTGTACCCAGTTAATGCAGCTGTCAACCAGTTCATACCTTCCTAAATTTAAATTAGTTAGATAATTAAAATCCTGAATGAAATAGCAGTATTTCATATGCACTCAATTTAATAGAAAATTATGATACTCAAACCATATCAAAAACATATAGTTTTAGTTATAGTGAGTATGAAGGTGTAAGACAGGATGCAACATTAGTGTTTAAGTCTCTATCTCAGAGAGTTTAAAGTTCAAGCTTCACTCGAAACTAACACTGCAGTATAATACTGAGGAACAGCCAACATTTTGGAGAAGCTGTCTTTTAGATATAATGTTAAACCAAGGTCCTGCTGCCAACTCAGATGATCATAAAGAATCTTAAGGCATGATTGAAAGAAGGACAAGCAGATCACCTGGTGGACTGGTTTATATTTATGACTCAACCAATGCTGCTAATACAGATCATCTAATAATTTATTTCATTGCTGTTCATACAACCCTGCTGTCTTCAAATTTGCTGTTGTATTTCCCTGCATGATAACAGTTATTACACTTCAAAGCTTTTCATTTGTTGTAAAGCATTTTGAAACATCACAAGGTCATCAACATCACTAAAAAAGCCATTTTTACTTCATTACTCATGTCATTATTCAGTAAACATAATCAGTTAAGAGGGAATAATGGATTCTTGCATGTGATTACAAGGTAGAAGATAATCTAATTTGGTCTGTAATGAAGTATGTTACTTGAAATTTCCACCTCTTTTAAATATTGTACATCTGTAGGATCTTGTCGTTTTATTTAAAATTTATGTATGATTATATTAAGGAGACTAATTGATATGTTTAAATTTACATAATTATTTCTTTTCTCAAATAACGCTGGGATTCAAATAATGCCTAGAAACCATTTTAATTCACTGATTTCAAAGTTTAATGGGGCGCTTGTATTGGACATTGGGTCTGATTTAGCACTGACAGATTATATGCTCCAAGTCTTTAAGAGACTGAAAAATTAATCACTGTGACATACTATGAAGAATGTATTAAGAAATAATTTTACAGCTCATTACTGAGATTTAAATGACCAATGCATACATTTCAAAATAAATGGTCCAGGATGAATTAACATTTAACTGCTTGCACCCAGCCTTCCATTCTTCTTTAGTTTTGAAATATTCCTGCTGCAGCATTTGTTACTGTCCTGGATTATCTTGAAATATGGCATGGTGTTATTTAATTCAACAATGAGTCAATCTCAGTATGTTTGAGGGATACCAAGTCATAATCAGTCCGTATCAGAGATAGTAGGAGCTACAGATGCTGGAGAATCTGAGATAACAAGGTGTAGAGCTGGATGAACACAGCAGGCCAAGCAGCATCATAGGAGCAGGAAGGCTGACGTTTCGGGCCTAGACCCTTCATCAGAAATGGGGGAGGG